ATAGGGCTGTCGTTCGTCATGCAATTTTATCTATGATATTGATACACACACAATTATACAATCCATCATTTAACATCTCTAAGGAAAGATTTCAATGAAAATGTCAGCTATTCATAGTCGGAATTAATCGGATACAAAATAATTAATTCACTACCACAAGTAAAATCAACATTAAAGACCTAGAGGAGAGTACAGCCACATTTTCTTTATATAAACGGAAATAATAAATTTCATCTCATAATATCTTGTGGCATGTTATCCACTTGTCCGAAGACTAGAATAATTAAAGAAAATCACCACATCATCAGTGAAAAATGTCAAAAATAATTTAATATAAAAGGTAGCACAATTTTATATAACACATTTTTTTAAGAAAGAATAAATTAATCAAGTGATTTAACTCTATACTCACTTTCAATAAAAAATTATAAAATAATAATATCATCATCATTTGTGTTAACCTTTTTTTTTTTTTTTTTGTATGTCAAAAATAAATTCTTCTTACAAATGCGTGTTTAAGTGTCTAACACGTCTATAATGAGTTTTTTTTTCTTTTTACTTGTGTGATTGTGATCAACGAGTCTTTTTTTCCGTAGTAAATTTGTTGTTGTTGTCATTATTCTATTTTTATGATTAATGAATATCCCAACAGACCAAACTTGCATGACTTTTTTACTACCTTATCTTTTCAAATAGACAAAAAATCTCACTAAAAATAAGATTATAACAACAGTAATTTTATTTCATTAAAAATACATGTAATTAAATTATAATGTAATCAATTTAACGTAATCGTTTTGGATTTTAAGATGTTCATTTTTTTTAAGATTATAATAAAATATGTATTACGAACTGATGAAATTTATTGTTTTTAAGAAAATGAATCGTACCTCATCTTATATAACAAGATAGAAAATAATAAAAAATTGTAGACAAACATTGAAAAATCTCATATAGAATTTGTATATTAAAATCTTGTCATAGGAATCGTATGTGATTTCTGATACTAGGATTAAATAGGATTCTTTAATCTAGGTAGTTAGAATAGTTGAAGAAAATCAAATTATAGAGTATAAAAATCTATTTTCTCTGTTCTTCCCTTTTTCCTCATTATTAGATGTATAATCAGCTAAGAAGATGGAAAGAAAGAAAAAAAAATAAGTAAAACAAAAATTAAACATTGAAAAAATCAAAATTATGAATAAAAAAGAAAAAAATCAAACCTTACCATCAATATATATAATACTACCTTTCAGTCCCTTAAATCATTCAGATAGAAGGAAGGCATAAACAAATGATACTGAAGCATTCCCGTGGAAATCCTTACGGAAGTCTCAACTAGGATTAGTATCAGATAGAGTGTACAATATTTGATCTTAGATATTTTACGATTATGTCCTTATTTTATTTAGAAGTGAGTGTGTACCAGTGGTGAAGGCTCTATTATAAAGTGAATTTCCGCTTCTAGACGCATTTTTTCTCCGTAAAATGGCATGATTTCGTTTTGAGTACTTACTTCTGTTTGTCCTTCAACATACGGAAATTCAATATGAATATTTTTTTTTTCTTTTCACTAATAAGTAATGAAGGAGTGAATTCACCCTTATGATTATTGCTTTTCAAACATAGATTGACCATTGACTTCAATGTTGATATGTGTACAAATATGAGACTTTCTATCAATTTAGTTCAGCATTTTACTTGGATTTTATGAAACTTTGTATCCAATAAATTATAGATAGAACAGATATGGTGTGTTTGATTCACAACCGTTGATTTTTATAGTCAAGATAAGATCATCAGTCCACTAGAAGTTTTGTTATGATAGATAGTAGTCAGAAATTAGTTATTATTCGATGATTTCACCACTTAAATATCCAAAATGTCTACCATTTTTCTTTCTTTTCATCTTCGAAGTCAGTCATATATCTAAAAATGAGGGGAAAAGAACGAACAAAAAAAAGAAGTCTTTGCACTCTATACAAACATTTTATTTCTTCAATCATCCGAGCTAGTAAATCTAATCAGCTAGTAACACATTTTTCTTTATAACCTTAAAAATGAACTCTAAAAGTCCGAAACGTATTTTTAATAAAATGAAAATTATTATTTCAACAAATCTTGCGTTATTTTTTATCTATCCACTGATTGATAATTAACGAATCATTTTTAATCTATAAAATATTCCTTTTTTCTTGATGAGTTATGAATATAATTTAGATTTATAAAATGACTGCTTTAAGTACAGGAAAGTATTAGATTAAGCATTAGTATTAGTTATTATCGTAAGACTGTGGTACTTATTTTATTATATAAAACTGATTTATTTTAAATGTTCAAATATATTTTCTTCTAAATCTTACGTAATTCTAAGCCTCTTAATTTTATGTGCTAAAGATATTAGAATCTTATAATTTCAACATTCACAATACTTACTGTAAAAACATTTTTTTAATTAACGAGTATAGGCAAATTGATTTACTTTCGATTCTACGATCAATTAAATAATGTCTGATTGAGTTTTATAAATTGACTAATCAATCGAATATATACGTGATTATAAACTATATATTCTAAATTAGCTAATATAGTGATTATGGTCAATACTATGTTAAGATGCATTTCAACTACAGTTTGAATACAAAAATTTTAGCTTCTTTTTCATTAATAGATCATTATTACAAAACTCTTTTAAATTACAACAAAAATTTTCTATTTTGTGCTTATATCTCACGGTTTGTTTAAATAATTTTCATATGTTACTATTTAATAAAATCTGCAATGAAATTGATATTATTAGATTAATAATACCAACTAACTCCTTATTGTAGGATATTCAAAATGGAGTGACTACTCACTGAAAAAGTTTATCATAGAAATGAACGTTCAGACGTATTTATTTTCATCTGGATTGTAAAAAAAACACGTCTAGAGACGTTTCTCGATCTCGGATGAATGAGTTTATTCGAAGAAACAAACGTGTCCATACGTATTTTAGAGTTTTTCAGACAAATGTAAAGAAAAGATTTTAACTGTGGACGCTCTCCGATGCGATTTTCTTCGAAAACTTTTGGCTATTCGTTCAAATGCGTTTCGCTTATTATCTTCATCAAATACGACCATAGGACTAATTATCCAATTACAAGAAGCTGTTGATGTCTTTCAACTTTGGTGGAAATTAATCATTCAGCCATCAAGAACAGAAATGCTTCAGTTTTACCTCATATCAGTAAAAAAATATAAACAAGCACAAGTCGACAGTACAACAATCAATCTGCAACTGTCAACCCGATATTTTGGAGTTATTTTCGGCAGAAAACTCGGATGCCGAGTACATATAAACCATATTGAAGTACAGCTTCGTCATTTTTTTTTACTTTCGATGTGATAGTATGATCAATAAAACGGTAGTTAACATTTTGTCTTTTAATACTTTATGCTAACTCTGGTGCATGCGGCTTTATTTTGAATTTCATACTACCTCTACGAGAATTCTTCGTATTTATATCGAATAGCAAAAATATAGTACTGTAACTGCTCCAGTTTAGAAGGTAATTCAAAAACCAACCATGACTACTATATTTTGACATGAATAGGAGTCGAACATTTCGTACAGATATTTAGACATCTTGGGAAGTATTTTATCGATAATAGCCTTTCAGTTTTCTTTGCATTTTAGATGAGACTTCACAACGATCTGTGTTTATTTTTAATCTTTCTCTTAATATTCTAAACTATAACAACTTTTATCAATCTATCGGTCGTACGTTCAAATTCTGCTATATTCTCGCGTATAATTCTGAAAATGTAATGCAATTATTGTCACCTGAAGAACAGTATCAGATATCTTATCAGTAAAAGCAACTATTTTTCACAAAATAATACTGCTCAATCGAATCAAAAAAACGTCCGACAGTACAAGGACTAAAAATCAATTGTTAGACTTGACCATTTTTCTTGTTCTAACAGTATCTATTTCATCTTCGACACTATTAATTATAACAATAATCGTTCTTATTCTTGGTAGAAGGTATTATCTTGTGATATCTACAAAAACAGTTAATCTAACGTAAGCCATTAACTTGACATTTCTGTTCTAAACATCCATCAGTGCTAATAAATATCTATGATAACGGTTTGAATTTGCTTATTTCAGTAAAATGAGATGAAAAATTAATCGAAAATAATCGACGTAATGTATCATTGTTATCCAGGGATTTTCTTATAGTTGTTGGTGTACCGCGAGTCAAATCAAACATTGGAAGACACCTACGATATATAATTCAGAAGTTTGATATTTGCTTAAGCATCATTCTTATAGTTCACAATTCAACATACTGTGTCTTCTCTTGATCGTCATCCTGGTTTTCATATACCATTGATTCTTCAATATTCACTCGTTCATTTTGTGTATTAAATATGAGAGCTGCTAATGCATGCAAAGATTCCACTCGATTTAAATTTGCTATTTGCAATAAATTGAGCAATGAATAAATAATTATTGGTAATAAATTTGTATCTTTTACAATGTTGTCTAAAAACAGATAGATCAAGAATCTTTTTAATACTTTAGTGGGAGTCATACTGTACCATTATTTTCATTTTCTAGTGAAATTTTCTTGACTAAACTTTCATCTGACAAGACAGAATCTACATCAGAAATTGGCCAGTTTTCTTTTGTAAAGTCATTATCCCATCTAAATGAGAGAAAATAGTAATGAAGAGAAGATTCGTGAAATTACAGACTAAACCAAATCGAATAGTATGATGTACGAGCTTAACTGGCTTCATGATACCTATAAACATTAGTTAGTATTGTTGGATTGCAAAACGTCGTGGTGCCGAAGAAAATTTCTATGTTTAGACAAGTATAAGCTCAAATTGTTAAACTTTAAAAATATTACTTCTTGATATATTTAACACTCCAGCGTGATTAGAAAGTAAAAATCAATGGTTATCGGCAAGTGGTTATTGCAAGAATTTTCTAAAGAAACTCTCAAAATTGATTCATGTAAGCAAATTCTTAATGCCTTCATGAATCGGATATTACTCTAGAAAATTTCTGTTAAGTAATTGATCCTTCGGCAGACTCAGGTATATTCCATCAGACTGCAATCTAGATTTTTCAGCGTGTACACAACTGGCAGAGAAGTTGTTTTAAGCAGATGTACCCCGAGGACCTCATTGAATTTCGCTAGGATACAATCTTATGTCCTCTGTCTCGTGATAGAGTTTTTTCACATGGTCTTTTCAGCTGGACACTTAAGAACGAGAAATAATTTTGAAAACCTTTATGTGTTTTTTAGATTTGCTTTCTAACGGAACCTCTGATACTTTCTCGACAATTTTTAGAGACAAGGCGAGAAAATTTACCGATATGTTGGTTTAATAATATTTGAATGTTGGAGCAGAGCTCTTAGTTTCAATGCCGGAAACCCTAATACAATACTATAAATAATCACGTTTGGTTTAACACGGCCGCGAATATCATCAATGACATAACGTAGTTGATGTGGTGCAACACAAATGAATACAATATCGGCATTTTGTACAACATGGGCATTGTTAAATTTACAATAGTTAATACCCATTTGGATAAAATCGGCTATAAAGTGAAAATACAGTGCAAGAGTCATTGTAGTTATATCTGCAGTGGCGGCAAAAATTTTCCGTACACCCCTATCCTTTTTTTTCTTTTGATCATAACTCGATAACGACAAAAGCTTTTGACAAGCGGTTCGCACCAAACTATAATCCGCTCTCTCTAGTATATTTGTAGATAAAAAAAGTTAGAAATATTCATTGTTGTTCTGCGTAGGCCCATTAGACCGAAAAGTGAACATTTTCCGTACAGTTGATAAAAACCTTTTTTTACACTATATAAGCACCGACAAAATATGAAAACTATATCAGTCGATAAAGGAGAGCGCGAGCTACATTTTGGTAAAACAATGATTTTGAAAAGCTTTTTCCTTAGGGTAAAAACGCGACTTTAAGCCAAAAGTGCCATACTCTTCAGTGTAAGTGCTGAAATTCGCAGAAATGAGTGTGTGTTTCCAAAACGTTTCCATACGCAAAAAGTTTCTTTCGCGAAAATGCCTTTCTTCCCCTGTCAGACACTATATTTATCTTACTCAGTTTTGGACTTCGAATGGCTTAATCAGAATTTTTTCCTCACACTCATTCCTGCGATTCAGCACTCACACTGAAGAGTATGGCACTTTTGGCTTAAAGTCGCGTTTTTACCCTAAGGAAAAAGCTTTTCAAAATCATTGTTTTACCAAAATGTAGCTCGCGCTCTCCGTTATCGACTGATATAGTTTTCATATTTTGTCGGTGCTTATATAGTGTAAAAAAAGGTTTTTATCAACTGTACGGAAAATTTTTGCCGACCGGAAAATGTTCACTTTTCGGTCTAATGGGCCTACGCAGAACAACAATGAATATTTCTAACTTTTTTTATCTACAAATATACTAGGGAGAGCGGATTATAGTTTGGTGCAAACCGCTTGTCAAAAGCTTTTGTCGTTATCGAGTTATGATCAAAAGAAAAAAAAGGATAGGGGTGTACGGAAAATTTTTGCTGCCACTGTATATACATGTAAAGGACATACTCAAAAGATCAGCTTGACGGCTGGATAATAATAGTTCATCAGTATAAACATCTCCGTAACGCAACAGACTTGATGCGAGTTGTCGGCCGATCCGTCCAACACCTAAAGTTAAATTAAACTAATGGCATATCAGCCCTGAAAGACAAACTCTTCATAACTCTTTAAGAGACGATTCGCCAGCCCATCAAGAAATCAAGTCACGAGTGAAAAATTGACATATACTTTTTATTTTATATTCGAATTCTATTATCAAAACTGGGGTTATGAAAAATAAAAAAAACTTTCTTATTCTGGCTTAGTTATAGAATTTACAAAATGAGCACGATCGTCGATTTGCGAAAAGTAACCATCTCTGATATTTTGACTGTAACTCCGCCATTTTTTATCAGTTCTATTCGAGCAACATCTCAATATTTAGTTATCAGTATTTACATTATTCAACGTGTTTCACCCAGAGCAAATATCAATTCTTATACACCGTTTG